CCAAAGTTAACTATGTTAGAATATTTTCTTCCTTAACAATGCATAAGTAATTATAATTACCAGATAAGATCTCATAATTATAAGATAATGTGTCATATTTAGGAGATCAGGATTCATTCATTCATTCATTGCTGAACTACGCTACATGAAACGTGAACAATGGGGTTGTCGGATTTAATCTGCTTTTATTTCCTTTTAGGTATGTGACACTGGGAAATACTGAGTTTCCTCAATGTGGATGGAATTAGTTTTAGTTTGTCAGCATTGCGCAGTAAGTCCTAAGAATTGTTTAGGTAAAAAAAGCTCACTCTACTCTGACTTGCTGGAAGTCACACTGTTCCTGCAGGAGCAATTAAACCAGCACTGGATGATTTATGGCTATAAATGAATGCATCTGAAACGCATTCCAGCTGGCTTGGTGGTTTCCCAAAGAACTGTCCACCGGTACCTTCTCAAAATCCTAGATCCTCAATTACAGCTGAGGCTTCAGCATCATTTAAAACGACCAGGTCCCAACTTTATGCGGGTGGTTGATGGATTTGTCACATGTTGGAGCTGTTGACGGATTTTGGCGTATGGTCATAAGGCTGCAAGCTTACTCCACAAGCAGTAACTCCAGGGTTATAGCTGTGTTCTTTGGGGAGGAAGTGAAAAACAGGAGTGGAGCTCCGATAAGTATCAGGTCAGACCCGGGCCAATAAGTTCAGTGGAACAGGTGCAGATATATATTAAGAAGTAATCATGAAGACCAGTTTTATGAGAGATGCTTCATTACTGGCTCAAATAATCATAAGAAAATATATAGACTAGATCTCGTAATTACAAGATTTTTTTCGTGTGATTATGAGATCTTATCTCGTAAATAGGAGAAAAGATCTGCTAATTAGGAGATACTGATCTTCTAATTAGGAGATAACCTGCCTGACTGTTTTTTTCTTTGGTGAATGCAAAACATTTCCATAAACTAGCCACCAGTCTCTTTAAAATGCTTGTTTTCAAACTAACAACTGCATTTTGTCAAAACTCAGAATCTGTTGTGTCAAAAGCTGTATTTATATTCAACTCAGCCCCTATATGGTCTTCAAAGCTCTATTAGTTCTTAATGTGGGCTTTTCTCTGAAGGAGCGAAGATGCATTTTTATTGTTCTGGGTGGATGTTAGCTACAACATTTTTAATGGTCAAGAAAGAATGTTTTTGTTATTGGGCTTAAATTGAAGAGAATCTTAAATGTGAAACACAATTAGAAAATAATGTAATTTGTTAAACCCAATCCGAAAAACTGAAAATTGAACAAAACAATTTAAGAATATAAAAAAAGTACAATAAAAATAAATAAAATAAAACTTATAATATGAAATCTGAAAAATTTATAATTTTAACATTCCCATTTACAATGTGTATTTTTTGCTGGCAACAATGATGGAACAGATTTCACTCCATACTAGTGTTGCGCCGATGCCATATTTTTGCCCTGATACCAGAGATGGCAAAAGTACTCACTTTCCGTACTTGAGTAAAAGTACAGGTACTTGTGTTAAAAAATACTGTGGTAAAAGTGGAAGTACTGATTAAACTTCTTTACTCAAGTAAAAGTAACAAAGTACAGGCTTGTAAATTTACTTAAAGTATAAAAGTAAAAGTAGAAACCACTTTTTTCATGCCGTTGCCTACATTTTAAATGGATGTCTGCCAATAGGTCTAGATCTCCTTTGTGTTCATTTTCAATCATCTCGTCGTCCATGCTACTATGCTAACGCCACCGCCACCAAGCTGCAATGATTTGCCGCCAATGAATACCGCCGAATCTGTCGATTCATCTTGTAGTGGTGCATCAAATGCAACGTAGATTCCCATCCAATTAGATTGAATTTGGTATTAATGACGTGAAAAATAATAACGGTAACTCTTTACTTTAGTTTTGAATCATTTTAATGATTAACGAGCCAATTTTTTAAAATTTAAGGAGTAGAAAGTACAGATATTTGTGTAAAAATGTAAGGAGTAGAAGTAAAAAGTCGCCATAAAAATAAGTAGTAAAGTAAAGTAAAAATATCAGAAAAATCTACTTGAGTACAGTAACGAAGTATTTGTACTTCGTTACTTCCCATCTCTGCCCGATACCAATACCCGATACCTGGCTGTGCAGTATCAGCCGATACCGATACTATAATAAAGTAAAACAATTGCCATCATGGCTTTGTCAAGCTGCTGCCTACCTTTGTAAAGCAGGAAACTTTTTATTGCCTACCAGGAGTGGGTGACAATAGTTGAATAAACTTATGGCTCTCAAAATGGTATCGGTGCCCTATTTGTTGGTACTCGCCGATACCGATACCACCATTTTAGGGCAGTATTGGGGCCCCGTCCGATACTGGTATCGGTATCGGTGCAACACTACTCCATACCTTGTCTCCTCCCTTCAATTCAAAAACATACACAACTGTACCTACAGTATTGCTCCATTGGCTGCCAGGGATAGGCATTCTTGAGAAATACACAGAAAATATAATAGTAAGACAGATATTTTACAGCTATTTTAAAGCTTTCATTTGTTTGACCTGATAATCTGCAGCAGCTCTGGTTGAAGAACATTTGCCAATCAAATCAGGTGAAGAATACATCCATACATGCGGAACAGGCATTGCAATGCAAAGAGAACTCCTTTCATTGCTCCTAGGGAATAAAAACTCAACCAGAGCCACTATGATCCTTATCAAGTCCTAACAGATATGTACCTTTTAAATCAGTTTAAAATTAATAACTACGGCTGGGTATTTTCACCAAAGTCCTGAATCGATTCAATTTTGATTCATACAGCTCTAAATCGATTAATTTGGATTCGATCTGTTTTTAAACAATGAAAGAGGTTCAACTGTGTTTCAAAATAAACATGTAATTTATTTTTTCCTGTCATATTAAACACAAAGTGCAAACTTGTAAATCAGACAGTTTAAACTTGAGACGTGAACAAAACTGTCTCAAAAGTGCAAAGTTGTTTGTGAAAAGTGAAAAAATGAAGCCTCACTCGAGTGAGCAGACGTGACACAGCAGACATGCATGAGCTGCATTATCTCCACTGTACAAATCATATATGTGCAGCATTGTCTGTAACAATTACAGGGTGTTTTCTGGTTAGGCCCCATTTGTTAATGTCTTCAATCAACCTATTGAGTATATTTGCAGATGTCTGGCTTGAAGTCATCTTGATTGCATCTTTCCTGCTGATTTGAATGTGAACGTCACTCGCATCACTATAAAACTAATCGATCTCATTCCCTAGACATCGAATTTGAAAAAATGTAAAGGAATCGATTAAATCGATTTTTTTACCCAGCCCTATTAGTAACACAGAAAAACATAAAAGCAAAATATGTCAATATATTTGTTAAAATTACATTGAAAAACAAAAACAAAAAAAAACCCTGCTCAAAATAATAATAATAAAACATTGTAGTAAAATTATCTAAAACAACATTTCGGATTTAAAGACACTATTCAGTTTGAAAATGTTTTGACCAAAGTTATTTGTGGGCCTGCAGCTGCAGGAAAAAAATACGCATAGAAAATTTTTTTAAAACTTTCAACAGATTATATGTCAACAAAAGTGAAAAAAATTAAAAGAAATAAAAAACTGTGATATACAAGCAGATAACATCCACTGCCTAGTTCCTATATACCTTCAAAAGTGCTTTTTTAAATGTACTTTTTTTGTTTTTTTCAACATTTTAATATTTCTTTCCTCCAGTGGAAAAAAAATCTGAACTTCAATAACCAAATAATTCAAGCATATTGGATTTGTCATACCTTTGTTAATACTAAAGATCCTTTGATTTTGATCTCTTCCAGTTAGGATAAGAAAGAAAATATTTGGTGTATTTATGAAAAAATGTCCCTTTTTTCCCATTTTGCCTAGGACAATAATGTCATTATATAATAATGAGAAAAAAAAATAATGCATCCGTTTTTGGCATTTACCTAATATTTCGTTGCTATGACACAATTGTTTCATGTTAGCAGGGTAAGACATAAAACAATTGTGTTAAAGTAACTAAATATGATTAAGTAAACACCAAAAGCGGTTGCATTATTTGATTGTGATGTCAAAATCAGATTAAAGTCGTAGGGAAGCGGCCGTTCCAACCATTGCATCTCCGAATTCTCCTGAGTGGTGCACGACTTTACACGAGTGAATAAAGTAAATGTGATTAGTCGTTTATCAAGATTGTTTTGGTGGAAGGTTTGCAATTAGTTTGATTGTGGCCAGTTTGTTGGAAGCATCTTGCTAACCAGTTAGCAACTTAGTGCTAGCAGGTTCCTCAATGGGAAATTCTATTGGGACCAAGTAGCACTAAATTGGTGACTTAGAAACGACACTGTCAAGGAACGCTATGGACAGAGGAAACATGCAAGAGGAGGAGAGTTTTGTGTCGGAGGTCGTGGATGAGTCTCCTCTGTTTTATTTAGAGGAGGAAAGCGGGGATGAAGATGTTGTGGAAGAGGACGCCAGGGCGGCAGAAGCTTGGTTTGGTGTAGAAGGCTTCCAGCCGTACATGTTTGAGCCCTTGCCTCGCAACGCTGCCAGTTCTGTTAGCTCTACGCCTGCTGAAGACACAGACGTCCATCCCCATGAACACTGGGACGGAACTCAATGGGAAAGGAAATGATTCTGATTTCTTATTTCAACCCTTGCGTATATTAGCTGCAACATATGAATCAAGATCCATAATCAATAAATTTGATTGACCGCTGATATATGATTGGTCGAATTTAGGTGTTCAGGCTGACGTATAACTAACTGGCCTGCATTAGATAGTGAAAAAAAACAGATTTTAACATTTTAAGACAGGTTTTTTTTTTTTAAATAGGAATTTTCTAACTTTTGTGACAATATTGTCTGATAAAGAGTACATATATGCACATGTTTGAGCCAGAATGATTCAACATTTAAATATGATTTTCCTACGACTAAAAGCAATACCCAAACTGCGCTGTCACGCACCTGTAGTTTCTCCATGGGCTCCTTGCTGACGGCGGACACCTTGGGCGCAGGTGTCCGCTCGCACGTGCATCCTTCCAGCAGGTAAATGCCGGAGGGTCTCGCACTCTGGTCGTTCTCAAAGTAGAAGAGCACGTTCTGGTGGAGGGCGAAGTACTTCTCGGTCCAGCGGCTGTTCTCTGTGGTCTTCTTGCTCAGGTAGCCCCGCTTCGTGCCCTCTTTACGCGCCACCACCGACAGATAGAGCGCGTGCCCCTCGTTGTAGCGCACGCTCTTCTGCATTTTATTCCCGGTCCTTATTCAAACTTCAAGCAGAGGCCATCACACATCACGGCGCATCGTTAGATATTCTGCTTCTGCTGCGGTTATTTTTAGCGCATTGATGCCAGACGGAAGGCGGTTAATGTCTCAGTCTGTTGGAGAAGGTAATCCGGGCTTACCATGATATAAAAAGTTGGACCGTCCGCCGCCCGGTAGCTTTAATGCCGGCTCCCAGAGCAGCTCACACCGTTACACATACACTCCCTCTGCGTTTGCATCCCATCAACTTCAGCGGCCAGTTTCTCTAGTTAGTGCGTGGAAGTAAAAACAAATAATGCGTAAAAATGCATTAAAAAAAGGACAAACTAAAGACGCACCGGCAGCAATAGGAAAACAGAGATTCAGACAGAGGGTGGAAACAGAATCACAACGGAGATCAGCGGTAATCGGCTTTGACACGCACTTAAAGGGACAGGTGCGCGCCGCTCGGCCACGCGCTGCTGCCGCTGCTGCTCGTTGAGCGTCACTTTATAGGAGCGAAAATGCGCGTGAGTCCCACTGAGGAGTCCAGTGCGCAGGTGCAAGGGGAGTGCGCGCGAGCGTAGAGGCGCAGGTGTTTCAGTGGAGGCTGCATGATGTGGCTCACTGTCAGGGATAGATATGGCTTTTCATTTATTTTAATAAACTAGCGGCATTAAAATATAACAACCAGTGGCAGCTCTAGACCAAATACACCAGCGGGGGCCAAGATGGGGCCAGTGTTTTTTTTTTTTTTTTTTTTTTGTAATTGGACCACCAAAAGAAAAAAACAACAACAAAAAAAAAAAAAACTAGACAATACATACAAAACTTTTAATCAATTCGTCTGTATGATCTGGTTGAATTGTCTCTGTACACCTGTTGTTAATTGGCGCTGTAGAGATAAACTGAATTGAATTTAATTACATTACACAATAATAATGGGTGGTGGATGAAGTACTCAGCAGTTGTACTTGAGTAAAAGTATTTATACTCAAAGTCAAATGTTTCTCAACTGAAGTTTCTCTGTATTGAAATACTCACTTTTGAAAAATACTCAAGTATTCCAAAGCACATGCATTTAAAAGTACTTAAGTACTCAAAAATTGAAATAACATTTTCTAGTCTCAGGACATTTCTGTAATTTTATGAGTCATTTATAAGAACCTTGTAACTTTCAGAAATCAGCTGATGTATTGATGCGTAGAACCACTTACAGATTTTACACCACCTGGAAAGAACTTCACCATGAACATGCTGCAAAAAAGAAGGGGCGGCTATTTTGTTTATTACTTCTTATTTGAAAATATCCCAATCCCAAAAGACACAAAAAATCAGGTTTACCAAATTGATTAACAAACAGCATGAAAGGCTGACAAAAGATTTTAAAAAAGCATCTCTGGTGTTCAGATCCTCTGGAAAAACAAAGCATACGGTTAAAACCACTGAGCTCTATTTATTCACTGGACTGGTGACAGGGCGTTGGTAGTACACGGTGCTGTGAAGCCACCAGCCGCCATATTGGTACTCCCTAGTTAGACCAGTTGGAATGTAAATAATATGTGCTCTACTGCATTGAACAACGATGATGTTCTCATGTTCAGGAGGGCTTAAGACTTTCAAAACAAATATAAAGTCATCACTTTGACACACACTTGCTGTTTCATACCATATAGATTACTGTAATTTATGGTAAACATAGGCACATCACATTGCATATTTAGTATGAAGTCAATGAAGTCTACAAATCATGTAATATAACATATTATACAAATTCATCACAACAAAATGAATGTGTTAATGGAGCATAATGATACTGTAGTCAGATATTAAAGGATAATTCCGGTTTTTAACACTTTTAGCCCATTTTCTGTAGTGTCCAGGATGAAATCGAATGATCGACACCAAAATTTTGACAATTGGTCCTGTCTCTGCTTTTTGGCTCATGCAGAATACCCCCCTGGCTGCTTCAGAATGGCTTCCATAGTGCATGTCCGATAATGTCCTTAAAACAACCTTAAACGTTCTTTTTTTAAAATATGCTACTCACCGGGTCGTCAGCGCTGTTCAATGACGTTCCAAAAAAAGTTTCGTGAAGAAAAAACGTTCCTGTCTTGTTTTATTTAGCATTTTGTAAATCCCAGAACTATTTTTTCCGATACATCACAACCGCTTATAAACTTCCGCTTCCCGTTCGAATCTGAAGCGTTGCACACTCCAGACCACAAGTTGGCGACGGTATCCTCTACCGTCAAACTCAAAGTCCAATATGTCCTCCTCAAGAATCCACCTTTCGTATTCCATTTTCAGAGTTTTTTAAAGTGTTTAACAGAGACGTTAGCACCTCGACGTCGGAGTACACAGAGTGAAGCAGAAACACTTGGGCCTTGCGAAAAGACTACAACTGTGTAAACAGGCCCCATTTCCGTTTCCGGTGGCGGAGGGATATTGACTATTCCAACAGAACTCAATGGGATTTACAAAATGCTAAATAAAACACTACAGGAACGTTTTTTCTTTACGAAACTTTTTTTGGAACGTCATTGAACAGCGCTGACGACCCGGTGAGTAGCATATTTTAAAAAAAGAACGTTTAAGGTTGTTTTAAGGACATTATTGGACATGCACAATGGAAGCCATTCGGAAGCAGCCAGGGGGGGATTCTGCATGAGCCAAAAAGCAGAGACAGGACCAATTGTCAAAATTTTGGTGTCAATCATTCGATTTCATCCTGAACACCACAGAAAATGGGCTAAAAGTGTTAAAAACCGGAATTCTCCTTTAAGAATATTACACACACACACACACTGTCTGATGATGTGCTATATTGATGATGTACATGTATTATACATGAATTGATTACAATGTCATGGTAATTTACATTACATAACAGGGATTTTTATGGTACGATTTCGTGAAAGTGGGGTGTACCAAGATGGCCACAGGTGACCTCTGGTTTCAGTAATCCAGTGAATAAATAGAAATCAGTGGTTAAAAAGGAACATGGCTGCTGCAGGCAGCAGGCTTACTTTACTGACTGAGATTCCTCCACTAGGTAGAGGTGAGCGGGATCCAAGGCTGGGGCTGACAACTCGGCAAAGAGTTTACAAAAGTAAAATGTAAGTATCACTACTTTTACTTGAATATATTGCCAGGCTATTCCTTTATTATGAATAACTTTGCTTAGTGGAAACACTGTCATGAAACGGGGACAGAAGGACCCAGTATTCAAGGAGAGACAGCCAGTAGGAAAGTTCAAAAAGTTTACTAAATAAAACAGAAACTAAAGTGGAGCTGTGGCTCGCCGGCACTGCAGGATGGGGAGCGGGGCACCGCCCAATCACAGACACTCTGCAGGAGAAACACAGGTAAGTGACCACGATCATCTGACAGAAGATGATTATCTGAGTTGGCCACTTACCTGTTTTAACAGTCCAGTCCAAGAATGTCCCCAGTGCAGCAGTCCCAGAGGACATGCTGGAAGCTGATCCTGCTCAGGAATCCAGATCAGACAGGAACAAGATCCAGATCAGACAGGAACAAAAACAGGTGGCAGGATCCAGACCTCCAGGCATCCACAAGCTCCCAGGAGGGTTCCGAGTCTGACAGGGTCCGAAAGCATGACCAGCTGGTCACGCACAGGAGCAGACAGGATCAGGTGCAGCTGAAGAGGCTCAGTGGAAGAGGGTAGCCGAGACTGGACGTGGAACCAGAACTTGATGCAGGACTTTAAACTGGTCTCCTCCCTGGAGCCAGGCTTACTGGATAAAAACTGAACCTCCCCACATATAGAGCCAAAAACCCAGAGGACTCTGCGGGGGAGGAACAGTGGATGATCAGGAGACGAGACAGACACAAAACCCTCTTTCCACTGGTTACCAGGATCCAGGGCATGAACCAAAGCAAAAACTGAACGGACAGACTAACAAAAAGACAAGTAATGATCTGGCACTGAATGCTCAGGCTGAACTGAATATAAACCACAGGAAACAGGTGAGAGGAATAAATTATAATTGAGGCAGGGAGGGAAAACGACAGGTGAAAGGAATGACTAATTAAGGAGGAGCAAACAGGCCAGATCATGACAAACAAGCCTGTTTTAAAAAAAACTATGCACCATTGAGAGACAAAGCTCCTTGTGTCTAACAATGAAATGTTATTTTCCATCTGCTAAGTTTATTATGTACTGTTATTTAACATATTCTACAAACTGTAGTCATTAGATCAGTTACTCAGTACTTCAGAAGCCTTTTTACAAAAATGCTTTATTACTCTTACTTGAGTAACTTCTTTAATGCTACTTTTTACTTTTATTTGAGTAACAATATGATAAAGTAGTGCTAATATTTTTTAAGGGCAATTTTTAGGTACTCTACCAACCTCTGTTGTGGGGCACGGATTTTATGATTTTTGCAGAGGCTGAATTTATTTAGAACTTCCTCGTGTCAAGCACAAGTTTTAATCATATATGCTAATCCTTCTCCTCTCAACTCTACAGGTGTGAGACTTGATGCCATCTCAAGACTGCAACAGATGCCAATCATTGCATTCTCACTAACCTCTACAGCTTTTTGAATTCCTCTGTTGATTGGTTGATTGTTTTTATTTTATTTTTACTCTTAATTAAAAACGCTTTACTCGTTACTTCAGCTTAAATAGTCAAAGGAGAAGAATGTGCCAAAGGAAGAAAAATGTGCATGGTGGTATATATACAGCATATACAGTGCAGCAGTGTTGTGATCCAAAGTTACAATTCAAACTTTTTCCCGTGTCCTACTGGTTCATATAAGTGTTTTGATTATCCCTGAATAAAGCTTGAGCTCAATTTATTTATGAGCTCTAATATTTTGACCTGTCTCCTTCATGAATCCCTGCAAAAACTGGAATATCTGTCCGTTTATATTAAAATGAGTGTGTTTTTCTTTAACTTGAGCCAACAGGAATAAGATGATTTACACTTAACCCTTTAAAGCCAGATCCAAGAATAAAACAAAACAGAGAATTACTTTTTTTTGGTTTGAAGTCCTTATTTGGCCTTTTAACAAAATATGTAAAAAGAAAAAACAAAAAGAAATTTTTGATATTTATAATTTATTACTATGCGATAAGTCAAAATAATTTTTTGCGTAGTCTTCTGCACTTTGTTATGAGGTATATCTGATTATGTACAATAGGATTTTGAGCAAAGTTTTTACCATTAAATTATGCAAAAGGTGTCAGACGCAAAATATTTCAGAAACCGTATGTATCAAATATGATACATTTGGCATTATAGGGTTAAAATAGGAACCACATTAACAAAACAAATCCCTGATCTGTCCAAGAGCATGCCATATAATTACTTTAAGGGCAACAAACCTATTCCATCGAAAGATTATGTTTTCTACTTATTTAAATTAAGAAAAAAGGCGCATTTATCAGGAAATTATAATAATTTTTAGATCAGTTTTTGCAGTGCTACCAT